CTGCTACAGCTCAGCACGCTGACAGTGGTGCTGTGTGTGCACACAGTCCTGACACCACTGAAGCCTGGACACAGGGGCACCATGTTCCACAGACCTCTCAAGTGGCCCAGCTGCAGTCACACGAGCCCCTGACCCGGGGAATGCCCAACTCTGCTCCATCTCTGCAACTTTGTCATTTTGAGAATTTTACATAAATGGAACCATTCAATATGTCACCTTCTGAAATGCACTATTTTGTTCTTAAAGCAAAAAGTTGAGACTGTATCAAAAGGACACAGAAGAAGCATTGTATTTCAGTTCTGTAAAATTTGCCTCAATCTGCTTTCTGGCCCAGGGTAGGGTCTAGTGGGGCACGTGTTCTGTGGGTTCTGGCAAAGAAGGTACACTCCGTTGTTGGTGGTGTGGCGCAGAAGCCAGGCCTTGCTAACCGATGCTGGGGTGAGTTTGGGCCTTCCAGATCCCTGCTGGTTTCTGAGTAGTTGTTCTATCAGCCCTAGTGCAGGGGTGAGGAGACTCCCAAAGGTAACTGTGGGTTTGTCTCTTTCTCCTTGAAGTTCCACAGCTGGTGGTTTTCTTGCATTGCAGCTCTGTTGCTTGGTGCATGCATGCATAAGAATGCTATCTTTTTAGTGCAATCACCCTTCTTTAGTCCTGATAACTGCTACTCTCTGAAGTGTTTGTATTTGCCACTACTGTCACCATTCCTGCTGTCTGATTAATGTTTGCACTGTATGTCTTCAGTCACTCTTTTACTTTCAGCACACACATGCTTCTAAAGTGGGGGTGAGAGAGAAGCCCGTCTACGGAGAGATCCCTGGGATGGTATCTGGGGCTCACCATGGGGCACAGAGATGCTTGGCCAGGAAGGGTTCGGGCCTAGGCCTGACACTGTACAAAGAGCCCAGAGCCCTTTACCAGTAACCTATCTAGAATTGGTTCTAATTGGGGAATCAGAAATTCCTGGTTCATTAATTTCTTTCTGTAGCAAGTAACTGATCAGTTACTCCACACATCATCTGTCCTCTTTAGGTTTTCCACTCCAGAGAGAGCTAATAACCACTCCCAAATACACGGTTCACAGTGCCGACCAGCTTCTGCAGGTTAGGGCCAGGCCCTGTGGGGTCAGCTGCGAAACAGTGGGGCGCCCCGCTGACACACGATGGGGCCAGGATCTCCAGGCCCGATCACCAGGACCCGGTGACCAAGGGTTCACAGTGCAAGGACCTGGGGTCTGGTTAGGAAAGAGGACACATAACAAATGCCGCCAGGGCCCAGAAAATGGCAGAGCGGAGTGTGCGCACTCTGCCTCCTGTAGAGCTATAAAGATTTCCCATCCCTTGGGGCCCTGCAGTGACCCCGGTCACAGTCCCACTGGGAAAGAGTAGGTTCAATTAAAAATCCCTACAGGGAGAGAAACACTCATCCTCTGTGTGTGACACCAGGATGCGGATCTCTCCGCTGCCCCCGTCCAGGACCCACTGTCCCCCGAGCCAAGATCCCCAAGACAGAAGGCAAGGTGGGGAGGAGCCGACTGGAGCCCATGTTTGTGGTGCGTTTCGAAGTGCTACACTGCTGGCCACTTCCTGTTTCTCCGCATACCATATTAGTTTTGTTGTGTAAAATAGGTCTCCACTGAAGGTTCCCCTCCTATCAGGATCAAACAGGAGAATCTCCCACAAGCAGCAATTAGAGCGGAATTTTTAATTTAAATTGGTTGGTTGGTTTCTGGAGGCAGGGTCTTGCTATGCTCTTCAGGCTAGGTTAGGATCACTTGGCCTGGGAGTGATCCTCCTTCCTCAGCCTCCCAAGTAGTGGGACTACAAGTGTGAGCCACAATGCCTGGACCACAGTGGGATTTTTTTAAAGCCTCGGGGATCATCTGAAGCTTGAATAAGTGGAAACTTGAGTAGCGGATCCTTGAGGGGAGGCTGCTGTAACACCGCAGCTGGTGCAGGCGACCCTGGTGTGCAGAGGCAGGACTGACAAGGGAGAGGCAGCTGACCTGCCACAGGCTACCTGTCCCTTGCCACAGGACACTCTGTGCTCCTTAGAACTCACCAGCAAGGACCCTGAACCTCCAGAGCCTGTGAGCTGCTAACCCTCCCTTCTTTATAATGCACCCAGCCCTGGGCACTCTGTTACAGTAATGCAAAGTGGATTTCAACTGTGGGTAAATCCACTCCTCTGTCGATTAGGTCTAATACGAAGATGAGCTTCCATGAACCAAAGGAAGTGCACTGGGTACTGCTGTTCTGAACGTAACGCGGCAGGCCTGACCTTCCTTTCCTGCTGCTCAGTGGCACAAAGCCGCTGCTGCTTCAGTGCAACCGGAAAGGACACAGGATCCACGCTGACACGTGCAGCTGGGCTGCCCCTCTGGGCAGCCACAGCTTGGTGACACCCGGGGCCGGTGTTCCTAGCCCTCGAGCCTGTCACCTAAGCCAGTGAGGAGGTCTGACCGCCCTACCCATCAGGACCGCTCCTCAGAAGAAGTGCTCATAGCTTTCTAAGGAGAAGACACTGCCCTTCACATGCTTGTCCCATTGGGGACCACGGCAATGCCCAAGCACAGACTGGAGTGAAGTGAAGGCTGCACACCTATATAATGACTGTGAAAATCAAGGGCACCTCCCTCTCCTCGGGGTCTCCACCCGGCAAAGGAGGCCAGGTGCAGCTGTGAGGGTCCCAGTGGGGGCCAAGAACACGGGGCAGAAATGCGCCCCGAGGAAACAGGGCTTCGAGATCCCCCTTGGGCTCCTCCACCATATACCTCAGACAGCCTCCATCTTCCTGCTGCCCAGGAGCTGGTGTGGATCACTAAGGACCTCACCTACAGCCAGCACCTCCAGCCCACCGAGCCAGTGCCGCCAGCCTTTCTTCCTGCCAACTCGAAGGATCAGGCTGACCAGCTGCCACCCCCCACCCCTGCTTAGGTCCCTGGGAGCCCCTGGAACCTGCTACCCCTCACCCACACAGACTGCCCTGGGGTCTGCACAAGGGTGGCCTCCACTCTGACCCCAGAGAACACTCTGGTTCTCCGGACTCCTCTCAACAGCCCGTCACCCTGCTGGGCACAGGGACTGGCACCGACCTCCACTCCACAGTCACCAGTTGCAGAGCTGGCACCCGTAAGGGCTTGAGAAAAAGTGTCAGAACTGTATTTTATCTGTTTGCATAGCTGCTGAGACACAGTGCCAAAAGGCACTGGAAAAGCAGCCCGGAGGGTGGCTGCTGCTCTCAGTAAAGATTTACTGTCTGAACGGAAGCACCTCGTGATTCCCTAGATTTCTCTGAAACACCAAAGCATTTAATGAGGAAACCAGGGTCTTTGGGTGGATCTCACAAAGCTAGGGAACAGAAGTCACCCTTTGCGGGTACAGGGGACAGATCCTTTAACAGGTGTGCGTGTACAGTAAGCCGCCTGCTCGCCCCACCTGGCTGTGCCACACCCCTCAGAGGGAGGCCCCAGGCGTGGAGTCTGAATGCCGCTGCCACCAAGGACCGACCGCCTCAGGAAGCAGAGTCAGCGTCGATCTCTGATGAGCTACGGATGGATTTTGCCGGGTGGATCTGAAGAGCTGCGACTTCTCGCTGATGTCCCTGACATCTGACCAGTGACGCCCACACTCACCAAGGACTAGGCCTGGAGAGGCGTCACTCCGGGGACTGGCTTCTGAAAAACAGTCACTAGGACTTTGAGCAGGTCTCTGTGGTAACTCAGACTGCAGGACTGACAAGGGAACACCCCACAGTGCCTGTCCCCTACAGGGTCTGAAGACGGGCCGGGGGGCCCTGAGCTCACAGGCTAGCAGTGAAGCGAAGGGCAGGATGGGGACAGCAAGGGTCAGGTCCTCCGTCCCCAGCCAGGACCCGCTCTGCAATCACAACAGCAACACCCTCAGAGAACAGCTCTGGGGCGTCAACAGTAACACCCCAAGTAAACAGCACGTGGGCATATTCGCCCGCTGAGACTAAAGGATACCAAGCTGGACACGCCAGATACTTAATCCTCCCTGACCCATCTTACATTGTTCCAAATGCCGCACTTCAAAAGGACATCACCGAAATGGAGAAGGTTCCGCATTTAAAACAAACAAATGAAACATAGTCCAGGAGAAAGCACATCCACCAAATATTTTAAGAGTCATTTAGACCAAGCAAAAGGTACTCTAATTTACGTTGACATAGTTAATTCACAGAAATCGTTATCCCAAGAGGTTCCAAAGTTCAAAATTCTGGAGTCAAGCATAGTTCAAAACAATCTGTAAATAACAGAAGCAAAAGCTGGCTAGGGAATGCCAGTCCTTAAAGGTGGCACAGTACCTTGACTCCAGCACTTCTCACCCCCAACCAGAGTCAGAGCAGCAGAGAAACTTGGCCCCAGACAGCAGCTGAGATCCTAAGCCAAACTCCCCCAACTATTTGTTAGGGCAAGCAATACTTTTGTGGGCTGAAGCTCAGGGGTAGAGCACTTGCCCAGCGTGTGCAAGGCCCTGGGCTCCATCCCTGCAAGAACCAAAAGGACCCCCCACCCCACCCCATGTCTTTGGCCACCATATCCATTTATCCTAGGACCCAGGCACCAGACCCACACGTCTATTACGGTTATGTCTGCACTACCACACACGAGCACACTTCTCACATGGATGGGTAGAACCTTCCCAAGACAGCTCCCCTAGTTTGCACCTTCTGACCCGGATTATCATCTCAGCCTCAGCAGGAATCAGTCTTCCTCTAGGCCCCGCGCAGTTCTCAGCTGTGCTCCCTGTCCTGATTTGGTGAAGCGGGAGGCTCTCGGAACATGCTTGAGAACCAGTGTCTGGCCACAGCCTGGCCCGTGGGTAACGTTCACCCTCCCACAGACTTCCTGTCTACGTGCTTGACACGTCACCTGTTACTGCTCCAGCAGGACAAGCCCATGTCTGCACCAGGCTCCTGGAAAGCATAAATTAACCCCACCTCAACAAGCCCAAGCCACCACCTGAAAATCACAGCTCTACCTTTGGCACACAGTTACGAGAGGTGACTGGCCAAGTGCAGAACTCTTGGGAACGATGACCTTTTCCCCCGAGGCCTCCGAAGGTGCAGAGCTGCAGGGATTCTCTGAACTCGCAGATCCAGCTCAGATCTCGGGGAGAATCATGGTCTGCAGCGTCACGCGTGACCTGCAAGGAATCGGAAGCCCGCGTTAGGTGTTTGTGTGCTGGGTTTTAATTAACCGCATGCATTGATTTGCTCGGACAAACACTTAACAAAAAGGAAACGCGTTTCTCCTCGGGTTAAAGGCACCCCCGGCCCCAGAATGATGCACAAAATTGCCAGGGCGAGGAGCAGGCTGCGGAGTGGGGCCTGGCCACTGTCTTGTGGCGGCCAAGTTTTCCGCAGTGCCACACGCTTGGGCAGATGCTTCAGTCCTTGACCAAGATTTTGAGGGGACCCTGAAGTCCTCTGCAGACTCCTGAGTGAGTTCGCTGGCATTTTTAATTACATTTCAGACCCGGAGGGGATCGCTTGACAGTTCACTCAGACATCTATTAATTCATCCCTGGCGTGATTATAACCCAAAATGTTAAACACCCTACAGGAAAATCGAATTCTATTTTCGTCAAACAGAAAAAGATAATTCAACGAGGGCCATCATAAAAATGTTATAAGGCAAGTTCATAAATTGTGGTTTAAAAATTAATCCCTCTTCATGCCTTCTCTACCATTGTCTTAAAAGCGGCTTGCTTTTTTAAAATACATGATTTAATTCAAGGAAAAGGTAACAACGGAACACAATGATTAAATGTAAACCAGGAAGAGTATACCCTTCTCTCTGCCAGCCCCCTCCAAGAACAGCTTGGCCCCTGGGGGAGACACCATGTGAGCGACTTTCTGACCCGAGCCCCTCGTGGAAGGAGGCCATCAACACATGGTGATGCACCGGGCAGCCACGTCCTCAGACACCTCGGCATTTGTACACCCAGGCGCTGTCCTGGAAGTAGGTGTCGTTTTAGGGTTCTAATGGAGCTGGGCTTCCAGAGGCCCAGGCCGGGGTGAAGCCGGGCTATCTGCTCTCCACACACGGCTCTCTCTGCCCATGCTGTGCCGGGTGGATCAAGATCAGCTACAATTGCTAATGTCCTTCCAGGATACACAGCAACACTCACATTTACAGAGGTTTGCTTTTCTTTTGCAGTACTGGAGATCAATCCAAGGGTCGTTCTACTCCTGAGCTACATCCCCAACCCTTTTTATTTTTACTTTTGAGAGAGGGTCTACCTAGGTTGCCCAGGCAGGATTTGACTTGAGATCCTCCTGCCTCAGCTTTCCTGAGTTGAGATTACTGCATGTGCCATACCGCACCAGGCTATGCTGTTAACTTTTTCAGGAACTGTGTTAACGAGCTTTCTATCACTGTGACGCAATGCCTGAGATTTTGGTTCACGGTTTCAGAGGTATTGGTCCATGGTCAACTGGTCTGTGGCAAGGCAGAACACCAAGGCATGGAAAGGAGCAAGGCACACAGCGGCAGGGAAGTAAAAGGAGAAGGGAGGAGCTGGGGTCCCCATGGCCCCTCTAGGGCCTGCTGCCAGCATGTCACTTTCTCCCGCTATGCACACCTAACTCCCTCCCAGTAGGCACGCCCCTCTGGTGACCCAGCCTCTGGCACATGGCCTTTACCATGCAAACCTTAGTGCGGTGGTTCAAGGTTTTCTGTGACAAGCTGAGCATTTGGGTCTTTAAAACTCCAAACCCAGCAGGTTTTTCACATCCCATCCGTGTGAAGGCGAGTGTAGAAGCAACGCTCAGACAGCAACAGGGAACCAAAGGTCGGCGACTTGTCACAGGTAAAACAGCGAGCGAACTGGGTGGGGATTCAGCCCTCTGACAGCCAGCCGGTCTCTGCACGGCACCGGTGAGCACAGTCAGAGCAGCTGCTGCAGAAGGCAAAGCAGGAGGGATCCACACCACGGTGCCAGGAGCCACCCGGACTCAGGTGTGAGAAAGGACCGCTGCAATGCTCTCCTCGAGAAATCATCGCACTGGCAGGCCCCTGACACGGAAACAGACACCTCAGAGCTCTCTCCCTGGGTTAACCGCAGGCCCCTGCCGGCGTCGAATACAGGCTCTCGGCTTCTCAAAGCTTCTGTCCAAATCAGGTCCCAATTACAAACCGTGATCGCAACCCTCCAGGAAAGTACTTTTTGCAAAAGACCTTGTAGACAAGACAAACACGAACGTGCACAGGGTCGCGTGCAGGCAGAGGGCCTCGGCAGGATCTGACTCCAGGATTTGCTGCACAGTGGCTTTGGCAGATGGAATACAGGGAAGGGTGCGCGCTCATCTCTGAGCACACTTCTGCACTAACTGCATGTGCCCCTCTAGAGGTAAAAAAGAGGGATCGATGCAGATACCATGGGTCTCTTTCTGCACTTTTATTTGACCCCTTAATGATACAAAACTTTACCACTGCAGAAGCCCAAGACCTCTGCAACCCTGCCATTTCCTTTTTCTCGGTTAGACTATGACCTGGGACTTTGCATTCTCAACTCTTGAAAGCGGGCTCCATGCTGCAGGATGCAGCCCCTCAGCTCAACCTGTCCCTACACAGAGCCACGCATCACAAAGCCACGCGCTGCCCGGGTCAGGCTTGGAGCTTCTGTCATGTCTTCTGGGTGGTCCTGGGCTGCCTGGCCCTGCCCTGCCTGAGTCGACACGGGTGTTCAATTCATACGTCTGTAACAATACACTTTGCTCCAGTGCAGGCAGCAGGGTTAACAGGAGGGCCATGTGCCTTGATCTGCTGCCAGCCAAGGCTGCGTGCCCTGTGGTCACAGTACTGCTGAACACCACGGCTCCACCCGCCGCAGAGCTGGCCCATCGTCTAGACAGCTGAAGTCTCCCTGTGCAGAACCCGGGACACACTCTCCTGCCCGACACCAGCTGTACCAGAGGTCAGCACGCACAGGGCGTCACTTGCTGTGGCTGCCCCTCCAGCTTGCCAGGAACGCCGGGAGACAACCACCCCCCTTCTGCTCAGGGTGCCCAGGCTAGAACAGGAACATGTGCCGTGCAACAGCAGAGACCACCAGGAAAGGGAAGAGCTGGCGAAGAGCATGCGTTGCTGCCATCTGCCTGGGATATCTGCCATTCCAGAGGCTCCGACCTCGCAAATCAAGCAGGGGCCCTGACAGGCTGTCAGAGAAGCCCTGAAACAAGACACACACAACCTGCACTGCCAGAGCACTCTTTGTCTCCAGCCAGTGCACAGAGACCCGTCTGGTGACATTCTCCGGCTGCGTCCGCAGGGCCCCTGCCCGGAGACCTGGACAGGTACCAAACCCAAACTGCACAGGGAGGGCACAGCCCGGAGCCAAAATGACTGGGACCAGAGCAGCCCCAGGTTTCAGAGTTTTTCAGATTTTAAAATATTTTCATGTAGATTTTTACCAGCTTAGTACCCCTGATCCCCAAATCTGAAATGCTCCAAAATCCAAAACTTTTTGAGCACCAGCTTCAAAGTGTTTTGGATGTCAGAGCACTCCAGGTTCCAGAGTAGCGATGTTCAACCTGTACACGTAAAACACGTCAAGAGAAGGAATACTGTATTTGAAGGCAGCAATCACTGTTGCAGAGCGTAGGGCCAGCAGAGCCTACAAGCCGATGCCCCGTGAGGTCCTCCGGGACACTAAGTCAGAGCCCTAGTCAGTAAAGCTAACGTCACCGTTTTTTCTCTTTACTTAAAAGGGGAAAGGTGCGTGACCACTGCAGGGCACTAGCGCTCACCCCTCCATCCCTCCACCGCCTCCCGGGCTCAACACCTGTCCCCCCAGCAGGCACAGCAGTGGCCTGCGAGTGGCTCTCTAGCTCAGCTAAATCCAGGGCCGCTGGACCCTGCACGGGACAGCACAGGGCCAGGGCCATGGGCGTCACTGCCGGCAGAACCAGCTACGGCTCGGCTCTGAGCCATGTGGAGGAAGGCCCCACGCCATGGCAGACATGGATCCAGAAACTGAGCCGAGTGGTCCCAGCCTCCTACAGCCCTCGCGAAAGTCCGGCCCTAGGGTCGTCTTCATCCCAAGTGCGAGCCAGTGTGGACGGAGAGACACTGAGCAGCTTAGACAGCTCACGTGCAAAAGGCCGAGGCTTGCAAGGGGGCGACTTCAGCTCTGGGTCATTGATGACCCTCGGCTGAGGGCCCCAGGCAGGGCTCGGGGAGCAGAGGTCCGTCAGCCACTTTCAACACATCCCGTGAAGCCAGGACTCTCAGTCAGGAGAAAGCGTCCTGGAGAGGAAAACTCATTCGGCTGCACAGGGCTGGGCGTGCATCGACTCCAAAGCAGTGACCCCAGTGATCGGGAGGAAAAGCCAGTCCTGAGGCTGTCTCGGCGGCCACAGGACATCGCAGGAGGGTCAGACCCCAGGCCTGACTGCGTCACCTTCGGGAATGAGGCTTTCGGCCTCAAGTACTGCAGGGCTGCGAACAGACAAACCTGCAGCCAGCAGCTGCAGACACAGAACAAGCAGCAAAGCAGGGACCGGAGCACAGGGTGACGCGGCTGGGGGACAGGAGGACAAGGTGCAGGTGCAGCCAGGCCACCAACACGTTGGCTCTGCGTGTGTCACCTGAGGCCCTCCGCCAGGGCCCCGAAGCTCAGCACTGGAGCTTGGAGGCACACAGGAATGGGCCTCAAGCTTACCAAACACTCATCCCGCGGGGCCCAAAGCTTACCAAATAATGTGACTCCTAACTGCATTTGCACTTTGCAGTCCAGTCCATCACCTAGAAATCCTAACATATAGGCCTCGGCTTAGCAGCCCTACTTCCAATGGTTTGGGAAGATTTCTACTTGTTGAATGGAGCCTCTTCGGTACACCTGTTCCAGGGTCTAAGATGCTCCTCCAAGGCTTTTCCATGAGTCCAACCCTACGGCCTGTCATACGCAGGAGAGCCCTGCGCTGTCCCTGCACCCTAACCCGACCCTCCTCGATCAGGGCGTGTGTGACAGGCCCCCTGGCACTGTCGGCGCCCATGGGACTGGGTCCTGGTCCCAGGAGTTAGGATGCCCATGCGCAGCACGCTGACCGAGCAAACCCGAAACTCCAGGGCACAGCATGGAGTAAAAGCCAAGTGAACCCCTTTCTGAAGAAGAGAGGAAGGGACCTGCAGAGGGACGCT